CTTCACTGTCATWWTTTTATTTTAWKYTACCCTGAATGCTTCAAAGTAAYWGAAACAAATACTTTAGCAACAACCACAACACTTTTATATAAACGTTTTTTTTCCAGTCGCTATTTCTGTACGMTTTACGAGGGCGGTCTCGCTTGGCTGACTCACCCTGTACTTCCAAATTKATTAGAAMATTTTTTTCACCGGCTTCAATACTGTCAAGATGTAAACGGCGCACACTTTGATCCCGTTTTAAAATAAAATTTCAAATTACTCCTTGGAATCAACCAAATTATCTTTTTTATAACTTTGTCTATTTTGCTTTCACCATTCCTGTTTGTGCCAAACTCGATGTCTTTAAAACGGTTTAATTTAAGTATGCAATGTGTCAAACGAATTTTGTTTAAAATGTCGAGTATTTAATTATTGTCTTTGCCGGTTAAGAAAAAGGAACTTCAATTTGCAGTAGCTTTATGACTGATCATGTATAAAAAATGTTTCTTTATGTCAAAAACTGGAGAGAACCTCTCAATTGTTGGTGTAATAATTTTGTTGGCTCTCTTAGCTTGGGAACTAATCCACCGTTTTCATGCATAAACGCGACCCTGTATAATTAGTTTCAACATAATAGCATACACGAGTAAAAAACAGATTAGAAAATTCTCGATTCCAGTAGGAAAAAAACTACTTAAAAAATTAAATGAAATAGTTTTTCACTCTTAACTCTTAGTGCCGGTGCACACGAGCGTTTTTTAACGGTGCGGTGACGCATATTTTTACGATAGATTTATTTCGACACAACGCAATTTTAGTGTAAGAATGGAGGTCGATTATGAACAACGGGTTTTGTTTGCGTTTTACGTATACAAATTTTACATTTACAAAAAGTCAAGAAATTATTCGGTTCATCCTATGTGAGTGCTCGTGCATTAAAAGGAGCATTTGCTCGCGATTTTGGGCATCTCAGGAACGACGAAGAAAAGCTTTTTAATTGCTTCCGTATGAGTCCCAAATCGTTTGATGAATTACACCTGAAACTCTTCAATTAACAATTCCAAATCGTAGTCAACCTCCGTAATTTTTAACGTTTTAACGTCGACGTTGCCGCCCGTGTGAACCGGCACATATAAGCTAATACACGGGCAGATTATCCGTACAGTTCAGATACGTAGAGATTTTTCGACAGATCCAGATCGGACGGATTAAATCTTTTCCTGTCCACTAATTAACATACCAAGCGCGAGTGCCGATTCTTCCAGTGGGATTGGAGGTATCAAATCCGTCCGTTAGTGGAGTGAAATCTT